ATCGGTGGAAATCTTTTGAGATGGTTTTGTTCATACCTCACGGAGCGCCAATTGACAGTAACTTTGGGTACTTGTCGCTCAGCAAGCTTCTGCGCAAAGTCCGGTATACCTCAGGGTAGCCATATGGGACCATTGGTATTTCTCCTTTACTTCAACGACGTTCACCATGTTATCACAGGGCCACGATTATCGTTTGCAAACGATCTGAAAGTTTTTCTGCGCATCTGCTCACTCGATGACTGCCTTTCTCTCCAAAATCAGATTGACATCTTTGCTGACTGGTGTAGTCTAAAACGGCACAGTTATTACTTGCTCACGCAAGAAACAACCGATTATTTTCAACTACAAACTACTAGGCACGACTATCGAACGGGTGAATTGCGTGAAAGACTTAGGCGTTTCTCTAGACTCAAAGCTGACATACTCACACCATATATCGTATGTCGTCGACAAAGCCTCCAGAACTCTTGGCTTTGTCTTCAAGATTACTAAGAACTTCACAGACATTTACTGCTTGAAATCGCTCTATTTTTCTCTCGTACGATCTACGTTGGAATACTGCTCTGCAGTCTGGAGCCCGAACTACAATAACGGGGCCGAGTGAATTGAATCAGAAAAGATGTTTTCAGAGCCTTAACCGTCGCCGATACTCTGCAAGGAAGAATCGACTGCGAAGCTATTCTGCAACAACTGAACATTAATGTTCTACCTCGATCACTACGCAACAGCCTTATGCTGAGACTTCCACTTCTTCGAACTAATTATAGCTTAGGGAGCGCTATTTGCGGCTTGCAGCGAGTGTTCAACCGAGTAGCTTCGATGTTCGATTTCCACTTGACACGGAATATGCTTCACCGAAGATTCTCTGCGTTTTTTGGCGACCGTGTAAAATTTAAGACTTATACATTTTTAGTAACTTGACAATGCTTTCCTAGTTATTTTCGTTTGTAACTGTAGTATATGTAGTCTGTATAATCTGTACTTTTTTTCACAACACATCATTGGGACTATTTCTAGTCTGTTTCTGCAAACATAACAAATACGTTCTGTGATTCTGATGTTAAAATCCAAAGACTTTAAAAAAATAATAACTGATGCAGAATGATATTGAGTACCCAGGATCCAACAACATGGATTATTCGGGTAAATGGTCCGTACCTTTAATTCATACCAGAACCTATCATAAGACACATTATATCAATTTTAATGAATGCTCAGGATGATATTGCTACGTTCAGAAATATACCAGATACCTCCAGATAAGATCAGATAAGACCCGACTTATGAAATGTTCAATAATTCAATTATATGCGATTATATTGGACGTCTAACATTTATGTGGTGTAGACTGGTGAGGCAATGTAAAACTGTCCTTTCTTTCGTTCCCCCACTGTTTAAATAGTTTACGGAGAGTTTCGTCTAACTCCGCTATTCATCACCTTTGTTAATATTGCCGGCCGGATCCGGATAGGGGGTATTTTCTAAATCTCCTACTCAGAACTTTAATAAAATTTATTTTTTTCAAATTCATATGTGTAATTAAGGTCAGGTATTACAGTATCATTTCTGGAATTAGATGAACATAAACATTTTTTTTTTGATTCTATAAGTTTATTCTTTAATTCTATAACTTCATGTTCCTTTCAATATCGAGTTCTGAAGAGTTGACTGTAGTTTGAAAACGTGACTTGTCAAAATAAAACCTGTATTTATCCACCTATGGTGAGATCACCGACAAACCGACATGAATGACCATAGCAAAAACAATAAAATTTCTGACCAAAGCACACTATTGACATCTGGCTCCGTGTTCGCGGGAAATATTTAGCTAACCCATGAACCCACTTGCAAAAGTAATGAATTGGTTAGTATCTGATCTATTTTGGAAAAATTATTTTTATCTAGATAAAAATATCCTATGGTTTTGAAAGTTCGGATCACTACACATTTAAATGGGCCGTTAACGATTTTCGGGCATAAGTCAGAATTAAGCGTCATGTCAGTTTGTCGGTGGTGAGATCTTACAAATAAAAAAAAATGTTATTGCGAAATTTTTCTCACATTATGTCGCATAATGGGTTTCACTCCAAGTCAGAAACTGACAACTTCCTCGGGGGTACCCGGAAGATGTCTGAATGTGGCCAATGAGATCATGTGCACTTGATATGACTACTAAATTTTGAATTCTCGTGTGATTTGAGGTGACGCATGACGGGTTTTGGACCAAGTCAGAAAATGTACATATCCCCGGAGGTACCCGGAACATGTCCAGATATGACCAATGTGGTCCTGGGCACTTGATGGCAACCATTGAACTATTTCTTGAATCCTCGTGTGATTTGATGTATCACATGACGGGTTTTGGAACAAGGAATTGGTCACTTCCCCGGGGGTACCCGTAACATGTCCGGATGTGGCAAATTGGTCCTGGGCACTTGATATGACTACTTTGACATTTTTTTATTTTGAATTTTCATGTGATTTGAGGTGTCGTATGATAGCTTTTGGTCCACATAAGAAACTAGCCACTTCCTCGAGGGTATCCGGATGTGGACAATATGATTCTGGGCACTCGGTATGACTACCATTGATCTTCTTTTCAAATACTCCTGTGATTTCAGGGGTCGCATGGTGGTGGGTTTGGCACGTTTGAGGACGCTTCTAGTCTCAAGTCCAATACTCACCAGAACATGTTCAACATTAGAGCGGAGTTGATGGCCAGGTGACATCAGGAATGGTACACGGTGGAGAACGGTAGATACACACAGGCTAATACCTATTATCTTGACCTGGGTGAACAGAAAGCATTGATCATTGGTCATGGTTACTTTAGGCAGTACCTACATCGGTTCGGACACGCAAGATCACCCCTCTGTACGGAGTATGGAAATGTAGAGGAAAGACCCGAGCACGTGGTCTTCGACTATTCTAGATTCGAGGTAGTGCGCAGGGAGATGCGTACCCTTAGCGCGGAGAATGTCGTCGCTGAAATATGTAGAGAGGAGGGTACCTGAAATGCCGTCCACAGGGCAGTAACGCAAATTCTGTCGGAGCTGCTGCAACGTGCGAGCAGTGATCTAGCAATGTTGAGAATTATGAAAAGTACATGAGCACAGCCCTAAAGTGTGTGGTGGGTAAAGTGGTTTATGAACAATTCTTGATTACAAATTACTTTTGTAGCCCAGTCCACAGCATAGCCTTAACCTTCTACTGCTCAAATTATGGTTTCGGTCCTTCTAGCATTTTTGATTATACAATACACAATACAAAAACATACATTATTTTGTCCTAGATCAATTTAGCTTATTAGCTTTAGATCAGTTTTGTAATGTTTTTAGACAATGCTTGAATACTTTACACATATTGAAACGTTTGATCTCCTCTAGCTGAGTCGATTGATATATGACAATTGGTCTCATTTCAAAAGTTGGGCATTCAAGCAAAAAATGATTAAAAGCGTCTTAAATTCCTGAACTTGTGGCCGAATTATTTTAAAAAAAGAATTAAAAATAAATTTAGAGTCTATTTGGGTACGTTTTCGTGCACAAAGTTTCATTTAAATTTCTTAATTTACCTAAGTAGACTGATACAAAGATAGTTGGGCATACTAATTTTCAGAAAACACTTACAGTACCCGTTCTATTTTGGCAAAACACAATTTTTAAATTCTTAGCCTTCCAAAAAATTTAATAAATGCAAATCTTATTATTTGGTGACGTCCAAGGCTTCACAATTATATTGACAATCGAAGAAAAATATTTAACAGAGCACAATAACGTTAAAAACATTGAGGTCGTGTTACCAAAATCGTATTTTGGTATTTTCAATAATACCATGGATAACACCGTTAAAAATACCTGCTGGTGGACGCATAATTGTCTCATGTGCTATGGAGTTTCATATACAATTATGCTTCCAGCGGCAGTATAAAAAGGTAGTAAATTTGATTGAATAGTAAAATTTAATGAAATTCTTTTCGGAATAGGAATACATATTAAACGATCTCAAGTATTTTTGCTCGTGGATTTTATTTCCGATTATCACTTTTCATGATCACGGATTTTTTATCCACAAGGGAATTGTCAAAGCTGTTATATTACATAGAAAAGATTAATATATAACTGTTTGTATGCTACCATACACATACCTTATACATATGGGAATGCAGGTTTGGAGCTTCATACAATGAAGTATATTTTACTTTATTAAAAGGCGTTCAGCCATTGGCTGGTTCGTCTTTGGTAGTCATACAATGAAGGCCTGACTCGCTAATTTGTGTTGATTTTAAAAATATGTTTTATGGATCTTTTTTTTATGTAGCTCAAACTCTTGCTAACACCCCACCAGCCATAATTGTATACGTGTAAAGCGAAAACTTGACGATCTTACACCACTGCCCAGACGACTTGACTGTCTATACCTCTATACGATCAAGAGAGCTCACTTTTTTGCTGCCGTTCTCCTTCTGCGTTTGCAGTGCTATTTTGTGAGACCACTATTCGTGTCTCGTGTACTGCCCTCAGCCAGAGAAGACTGGGGATACAGGAATTTTCCTATATTTGTTCATGCCACTGAACCTCGATACGTGATGACGACACCTTTTCACCGATGAAAACTGCAAAATACTGCTCTGCGGTCACAACTATATACTACGACTCCAGGAATTTTCCACTAGTGCCCACGAATGCCCTTTTTCGTGGCTTGTCAATCAGCCAACTTTCCATCCGGATTTCGGAAGTCATGATTCACTTTTTTTCCTGACACACGCACCGTTCACTACATTTTCTTCTTCCTGAATCATTTTTGCTCTTTTTTGGTGCTCTTTCTTCTCCTTCACCTGTGGCCTTTTCCCGAAGTAGCTAGCCAGGCGAGATTTTCACATGATTTTAGTGCTTGCTTTTTCCAACCAAACCAAAACCATCTTGCATCGATTACACCGAATTTAGATTATATTCTATGTTTTACTATGGTTTAACAATAGATTGAAGCCCATTTTTCACCTTGAACAGCGATTTTATAAAACATTACACATTTCCTAATTGGCGCAAGTAAAAGAGTGATTTTTTTCAAGACATTTTTTTCCTTCGCACACTCGCACTCACGACGTCTCGCACTTCTACTTGGTTGCTAGGCTCTCCTGGCACTGTGCGATCGCCTTCACTTTTTGCTGTCTTCCGACGGACTGACTTTTCGTCTGTCGTTGCTTTTTTGACGTATGCGCGATTTTCCCGACTTTACCGTGTTGCCAGACCTTTACGGTTTTACTATAACTGAAATAAATACAGGGATAAAAGTCATAGCATAAAATTAATCATTATAGCGCATCCCTAATAAATAAAAAAACATAAACGAATGATAACCCAAATGATTGAACTATTCCGCAAATGATTTGGATGATACCCGAAACACGTCGTTAAGCAAAATAACCATTACAATTTTATTAGGGATTGCACACATTATAAATCGTTCGGCGCACTTATTCCTTTATTCATGAAGAATAATTGCACAGAAGACACCAAGATGATACAACGGAAAAGCGCACTTATTCACGATTCCGCTCTTTTGAGGAGTCCAGTTAGAAATGCAAAATACCATAAATTAAATTTTAATCCTAGGATGTATTTTTTAATAAATAATATTTAATTATGGCATGGTTTTTACGTCCCTACTGAGCACTAAAACCTGCCCCGTGGGGCATAACAACATAAGCATTTTTGGCGAAAATGAGTTATACGTTGGAATAGATTGTCAAGTACCATCACTTTACAATGTATACACGAAAAGATTCTTATTGTGTAAAAAAAGGTTGCAAAAAATATCAAACTATGTTGTCTCATCCACAAGAGCCCACAGAAAAAAAATTTTGATCAGCGTTTTTCCCAGCTTGCTATTTTCATGGGATGGGACAATTCTAGCGTCAATTTTCAAATAGACCAACATTGGTCGATTTTATTCATTGACTCCTTCTTTCGTTAATTACTCGGCCCCAAAAACATCAAAAGCTTTTAACAGACTATGTAGAAAAAATAGCCCGAAATATAGATGCAACCAAGTTATTAACGTTTCCATTTCCGTTCTATCGATCAGAAAAGATCAATAATATCAATGATTTCACCGTGCACAAATCAATAATAGCTTTGTTCCGACGCGTTAGTTCATTAGCTACAACATAAATCCTATTAGAGCGCATTGTATGAATATTTACGCTCATTGTTTTCAAAACAAAAGAAGCGCTCTAGCTAATCTCCTTTTTCTACGTTTATCCGTAGGACGAAGAAAATCTAATGGCGTTCAATGCGTAGAACGAATTTAGAATCAAGAAGCAGTATTAGATTTTAAACAATATCTCAACCATTTGTGACTCTTTATCAAATCCAACGGTACGTATGGAAAGGTGAATCAATTTAGGTGTCATCTGTGAGAGAAATCTTAAATTTTTTGTTCAAACCCGTTCAAAAAAAGGAGGTAAAGCGCGGGTTGTGCTTAGTAGGACGAAAATTAGATCAAAAACCCTAATTGGCAGCTTTCTAAGCCATGTGACAATTTCAACGATACTTTACGTTATGACAGCCGAGAAATTTTCCAACTTGAAATCAGCAGTCGAACATGGTATACTGCACCGTTACTGACCGCGTTCTAAAGTAGGGTAAGGGAATATAAGATTTTGAGACAAGCAATGCATTAGGTATAGGAAAAACGAGACGAATGGAGGGAGGGGTAAATTTTTCCTAAATTTAGCGGGACATAATTAAAGTAGGCCGCATAGGGGTGATACCAAGTCTCTAATCAAACAAAAAAGTTCCACAAGAAGTGCTTATCAACGTGTTCGGGTGAATTGTGGAATAGTTCTAACGTTAGGGTAAACATTTGCAGTACTTTAGAATTAGAATCAGCTTTCCTTCAATCAACATATTTGTTGCGTTGCTTACAGATAATAGGTCGAAGAACGAACTAACATGGCAAAACGACATAGGCAATTCAAGGATGAATTTTCAAATGGGTATGGTAAAGCTTCCCAAATATGATGGTGGTGTAAGTTTGCGTGAGCAAGCTAGAATTAATTACTTAACATCCGAAAAGAAGTTAACAATAAAATGTTAAACTTTTCCATTTTACCAAACATTTCAAACTTGCAAACAAATCAACAACTTGTTAAAACAGCCACTGAGTCAAGCAGTTATGGGTGTCTTTTTACCAATGCTATAAAAAAAATAGGGCAAACATTATTTTTTTAAAATGTATACATATCCAGATTGCATGTTGAAATGTTTGATACAATGGGCCGTATGAATAAAAAGAGTTTACTTTACTTTCCCGTGATTTTCTTACGGGAAAAGTAAAGTAAACGCTTTTATTCATATGACCTACACGCTCGTCTGATTTTACTCTAAAGTGAGTAACTTTGACTCAGTTTCGTATTTGTATGCTAAATGTCAAAAACTGAGTAACATTAATTTAACAAAGTGAGTAACATTTACTCTAATTAAATAAATATGGATCTCTACTGTATTGAGTAAGATCAAATGTAATAAACGTCCGAAAATTTTGAAGTCCTGGGCTGAAAGCAATTTCCCCGAGAAATTCCCACAAAGCGTTCAAAGAGTGAAAGTTTCAGCGTTTTGTGAAACTTTTTTGGACTAGTAACTAGCGTGAGTAGCAGTTGGTGTTTTCCCTTAGATAAACTTTATTTCAGCCCAAATTTACACAGGTTACGTGAACTTCTGCAACAACTTTTGGTTGTGAACTTCAGAATCCCAAGCTCGATCCAAAGGAAAGTTCACTATGAGAGAATTACAAGTAAGTTTTATGAGAAAATCGGGAAATAGCAATATATTCAAAAAGAAATTAATTTTCAGAAAAAAATGCTGAGAAACTGATCCGTAAGTTGTGCCAGGAAGCCGCTCAGTCCATTTCGAGATGTTCAATATGTTACTTCTCGGAATGAAAATAGCATCTGGAGATGATAGTTGCAGTGGTCTTCGGAATCGCTTAATAAGCAGAATTATTATCAATTTGTTAATTAGAGTTTATAATTCTGTTGCAATAAAATAAATCGTTTTTATTATGTTTCAAAAAAAAATCGACAAATAATTTCCTGTCAAAATATAATATTTACAAAACTGAGTAACCTTTACTCAGTTGTGCTAATATTGCGAAAACCGAAACTGAATAAGTGCTACTCAGATTTTGACAAATTCATACATTACTCAAAAGTGAGTAAACATGGGGTTACTCACTTTAGAGTAGTTCCACTTTTAACGAAAGTGAGTGGAATTTTACTCACTTTAGAGTAAATTTGAACGAGCGTGTAATGAAAAAAGTTGATTTCAGTAAAGATGTTTTCATGATAAAATTATCACGAATTAAAATAGGTCTGGCAACGCTGCCCTTACGAATTTGTTGCGTATTCCGATTTTCCCCGTCCTTTCTTCTTTGCACACCTTCACATATTTTCGCGCACGCATACACTTGCACGTTCACTACTTTTCAATAGTTCCTGTCGACCGTCTAAATTTAAAGGATAAAACGTGACACTATCCTTCTTTTTTCATGTCACTACCATCGGATCCTTGCGATAATTACCAATATGAAGCTCTTTTAGCGGATGAATAACGATTATAAGCAGGAGGAATTTCGCTGACAGAAAATATTATGAGGAGGAAAATCGGTTTTCCTCTTTTGTCACACCACAAATTACACTCGAAGGCGAACGATGAATGAATGAACGCGGTTGTGTGTGTGCGTCAGCTGTCATTTGTCGAGTTGTCATCATCGCGTGCGTGTTCACACACTAACACATACGTGATCACGAAGAAGATGGCTCGGAAGATGCTAAAAGAAAACGTCAACAATTCTTGGCTTGGAGAAAAATGAAACGCCTGCTTTATCGACCGACGATATTGTATTTTGCAGCTGACACTGGACAGTCCGAGGGGGGCGACAAATCTCACTTCTAGATACTCGAAAAATCTCGTACTAGCGAATGAATCTTCGAACAATCTTCTATCATTTTTCGCATCTACTTGCATCGCGCATCAATTTTTTGCAGGAAATCTTCAGAATCGTCATCAATCTGCTTTCTATCTACTCAGCGTGCGCGCAGCTAACCACAGCAAAACAAAATTTTCCTACATCGTAGGTAGAGTCACCCCCCTCGGTGAGAAAGCAGTCACGCTTACCACTACACCAGGGTGGCCAGATTCCCGCATAAACGCGAACCATCACTAAGACCTTACCGATAATGGTTATAAATTGTTTATAATCCCTGCTTAACTTCAACTGAAATGGTTATGGAACTTTACATGAACGTTTGTGTGATAAAGTTTTAACCTTATGTATTATGGTTTTTTGGAAGCGGACCTTACAAATAATGGGTTGTTAAGAACCATTACCATTCCAAATTCTTGTTTTCTCCCTACATTTTAGGAAAGAGAACTATATTAGAACGTTTTTACTTATGGTTTGAGAACATTAATGGTTATGGTTATGGTAGTCAGTAAGGTCCATTAATGGTTTTGTATTATCACTCAACTTTACGTGAAATATATCGTGAATTGGTAATCAGTAATTTACAGGCAACCAATTCTCGATATATTCCACATAAAGTTGATCGATGTTACAAAACCATTCATGGACCTTACTGGTTACCATAACCATTACCATTAATGTTCTCAAACCATAAGTTAAAAGGTTTTAGTATAGTTTTCTTTCCGAAAATGCATGGAGAAAACAAGAATTTTGAATGGTAATGGTTCTTAACAACCCATTATTTGTAAGGTCCACTTCCAAAATACTATAATACTTAAGGTTAAAACTTTATCATTAAACGTTCATGTAAAGTTCCATAACCATTTCCGTTGAAGTTTAGCAGGGATTATAAACAATTTTAACCATTTTAGGTAAGGTCAATTTATGGTTCGCGCTTATGCGGATTATTTTTTCCATTATCGGTAGCTTCTCAAAGCTTTTATCGGTAGTTATCGGTAGGCCGTCTTAAGAAGGCTTCCCCGACACTTGAAACACAGACAAACAGACGTAACTCTTTGAAAAAGTTTTTCTTGAAAACATAGTATCTCAAAACATATGACCTCAGTAACGACATCTCTTGGGCTTCTCGCGGAAAACAAGCTTGCTCGCTAGCTCGCAAACAATATTGCATAAAAGTTCTATAGAATGTTAGAAACGTCAAAGTGATCCGATGCCAGCGCTGCGGCGAGTAGTTCGCGGAACTGATAATATTCAAATCAACCGTTAAATGCTTGAACGAAGATACACAATGAAGTGTTACGTCTGTTTGTCTGTGCTTGAAACCTTTGTGAGTGTGGGGGGGGGGACTGTGCTCCAGAACAATACACTGTCCTTCAGTTCTTCTGCTTCAAACGTGTCGAAATCAATATTTCTAATTATAATTCTAATTCTGACGACACGGAAAACAATTCATAGTTATTGAAAATTTTTCAAAATTACTAAAAATCTGTGATTATCGGTAGGAAAAGTGAAAAATCGGTAGTTTTTAACTTTTTTTTATGTGAATCGGTAGGCATCCCGAAAATCGGTAAGTCTGGCCACCCTGCACTACACCATTGGCGCCGGCTATAAATATGGGATAATGTAGTTAACCAATTTTGTTTACTTTTGTTACATACGACCTAATTAAACAGGAATCCTGTGTTTAAGGAGTCACCGGATTCCTGTTTGGTATTGTGAACCCTAATAAAAATAACCATAAAAGAGAGCTTAACGACGTGTTCGGGGTATCATCCAAACCATTTGTGGAATAGTTTACCCATCCGGGATACAGTTCGTTTATGGTATTTGTTTATTAGGGAAGGTATTCAATAAATCTTGAAATAAATTAATAAAAGTGTCTAGTCCAAAAATCACATTTTTTCACAGTGAAAAAAAAATATATTTCGGACACTTTATTTTATAGGAATGTTGGAAGCGCGTTAATAGCCAGAAATGTTATTATTCAAGTGATACCTATACAAATGGTTGTAAAATTGCGGGTTGATTAAATGAGCATGCGTGATATATTTTTAATGATTAATAGGTTTTATTTGAAGGTTTCTGATACAAGAATTAGATCGGTAAGCGAAAGATTAAACGACATTAAACACGAATTCAAATATAACGTAGGTATACCCGCATAAACACGAACCATAACTTGACCCTACCGTAAATGGTTTAAAATTGTTTATAATCCCTGCTAAACTTTAACTGAAATTGTTATGGAACTTTACATGAACGTTTGTGTGAAAAAGTTCTAATCTCATGTATAATGTTTTTTTTTGGAAATTAACCTTACAAATAACGAGACGAATAACGATCCGGATCTTAAGGCCGGCGCACAATAGATACGTTTTCGGGTTTTTTGACAGATAATGCATGGGCTAACTGTCAAAAAACATGAAAACGTATCTATTGTGCGCCGGCCTTTATGTGCGTGAACCTTAAATGGTTAGTGTTCGCCGCAACAGCCCCTTGTACCGGTTACCAGTAATGGTAGCTAATAGTACGTTCAGACTACAGAGTTATAACATGTTATAGTGCTATCTTGATGGTGTTTTCTGTGTTGCAATTATTTGACAACCGTTATGACATGTTATAACTCTCCAGTCTGGACAGTAGAGTGATGCAAAATTTGAAATTTTCGCTCCACAGTACTTAAACGATTCCAAATCGGATCCTGACTAACTTCTCAAAATTTGAACACATTTGGTGAGAAACTGAGACGGCACAAACCATTTGAAGTTTGTATGGAAATTACTATAGTAAAACCTAGATTTTTGTTCATGTCTATCTAATAATTCACCATATCAGTCTACTTCAAAAACTTGCCACTGTGCTTGTTGGAAATTTTAACAGCTACAACTTTGCTCAAGACCACATTTTGATTAAATGCAAGGATCAAAAGTTATCAATGGTTCAATGCGCTGATGTCTTATGATCATGCTCAATCAACTGCTCAGCAGGCAACATTGGTATTTCTGGGGCGTTGAATAGGACACACAAATCATGGCTACTATGTCACACTGCAAAATACAGTGTTGCCTACAGAGCAGCTGCTTGATCATGTCATAAGTTTACCAATCTCTTAAATAATTAAAAACTTTTTCCCATCTCGTTTTACATAGAAATGATTTTCAGCAAAGTTGTAGCTGAGAAAATTTTCTATAAGAATTATTATCGAACTGTTTCGCAGCTCAATATGGAAAAAGACTAGAAGGCAAAGAACAAAAAGTTGAGATTTCCCATAGTAATTTACATGTAAACTTCAAATGGCTTGTGCGAAGTCTGTTTCTAACCAAATGATTTGTATCTTTGGGAGACTAATCAGGACCCGATTTGAAACCATTTAAGCACTGTGGAGCGAAAAAGCCAAATTTTGCATCAGTCTACTGGACAGCGTTTAACACGCCACATCACATCAAACGGTCGATGCGGGAAGCACAAGCCGTCAAATGCGATGAGATGAGGAATATAAAGAGAGGGACAATGAGAAGCATTGGTATGCGATATGAGATTAAGGAGAACATAAACAAAACTGATGGATAGCTAATGATAGTGTTGTTTGAAAATCTTCGAATTGATATAGTAAAATTACAGTGAAATAATTTGAATTTATGAGGCTGGATATTATAATTTAAAGTACTCTGTTGTGACCAAAAAACCATAAACGGAGACTGAATTGTAAGTAGAAAGCCTAAAATTTATTAAAAAACCTATCCTAAAATAAAACTAATTTTTAGCTTTAAGCTGATACACACTAATTGCTGAGTGGTTTATTGCTGGAAGAACTCCGAGAAAATCTGTCGCAACAGTTAGGGATTGAAGTAATGGATGCGAGAGCAAATGCGGAAAAGTTTTGAAGAAATTTGCTGGATTGTTTGCGAGATATAGGCTTTCTGATGTAGTGGTGACCGATAATGATCCGCCTTTTAATTTGAGTTTGTTTATTTCATTTCTTGAGAAGAAAAAGGTTGTTAAAAGTCCCCCTACCATCCCCAATCCAACGAACAAGCCTAAATGATGGTAAGAATTACAAAAGAGGTCTTGAAGAAATTTCTGCTGGACCCTCAAATGCTTTCCTTAGATCTTCAGGACAATGTCAATTACTTTCTTTTCAACTATAGAAATACTTGTCTCGAGACTGGTGATTCTCAATAGACATATAATATAGAAAAAATAATTTCTTTTCAGATTTTTAGGTGTATACATAGATTTCAGTTTTTCTACCACTGTAGCAGCAACCAAATTTAAATAAAATGCTCAATTTGCAAAATAAAAGCATTAAATTTTTAAGATTGCACTCGTATACCTCCCCGTGGATAATTTTGAAACCATCATCACATAGTTCTTCTATTCTCCACGAGTGCCAACTTTGATTTTCCAATAAAATTGCTTAGTTTGATTTTGATCGTTAACCTACACGATAAGAAAAAATTACCCAACGGCCAGTTCACTTTTACCTACTTTTGACTAGTTTGTCTCCATTTGTCCATCTAATGTTGTCAAAAATTGAGGAGCAAAACCACCCAACAGGGGTAATAAAGTGTGGGAACCCAACGTTGAGTATAATCATATTTACCTACTTTTGGGTACAACTAACGTATTTTTGGGTAGAAAGCGAGTGGAAAACCCAACTAACATTTTCAGCTTTATAAGCCAACTTTTCCAGCATTGTGCTGTAAAGTAGC